CGCACCTCGACGACGTCGTGGAGGTCGAAGGAAGGCTAAGGGTCACAAAATCGCAACCAGCATGGCAAAGGAAGGAAAGATTACCCCATGTTTTACAAACGTGGAGGTACTTAAAAGGCAGTTGGAAACTACAGCACCTGGTTCGATAGTGCCATTGGAATCCATGTTACAAATGTCTGTAAGCCTTTCCACGATGCCAGGAAGGACGTGGACATCCAGCATAAGAGAGAGATTCAACAGCACCTGCTGGTATAAATTATTCAATTTTATTATTTTTTAATTTAATCTAAATTTCAATATAATAAAATCATTTAACATGTTTATGTTGTATTACAGGAATGGTTCAACCTCGATTATGACCAGGACGATGGTATACTTAGGTCTGTGGTTGACAGTGAGGCTACAAAATGTTATACGGATTGGAAAAGTGACCTCCATGATTATTTTAAAGATCTTGATGGTTCACAAAATGAGAGTGCAGTTAAGGCCCACCCTCCCAAAAATCTCAAGAATCCAGCTCACTGGGGTCATTGCTGCGATAGATTCATGTCCGACAAGTTTCGGGTAATTGAATATATTTTATATGTTGTTTTTATAAAATATATAATAAAGGTTAATTTTACTAACGCCGAATGTAATCATAAATAGAAAAAGTCTGGGATCAATAAACTTAATCGTAGCAACTAAAAGTGGGCGAGGATTCATGGTCGGCTGTCGTACTCCCAACATCGCGATAAGAAAGTAAGTATTTGTTAATAATTTATTCAATATAAATGTTAATTTGATAATCGATTACATTATATTCAAATACATTTAAACTACTATACAGTCTACCAGAGGGACTCAACAACCGATGTCCGTCATCGATAACAGGTGGGACATGCATCACCGTGGGGATACTTGGGTTAATCCCCAAGCTGAGCAGACTTTTGTAAGTATAATCGTAATGTTTAATCATATTTCTTTTTATTTAAATCACATTATGTATTTAATTATTTTTCTTTTAATATATGTAGCATCGGATTGAGAGAGAAAGAGAAACGCAGATCCAAACGCAGTCTGCTACTTATGGATCATCTGCAGTCAGAACAGTTAACGAGGAGGATATTATGGGGCAGTTTCTGGGTACCCGTAGAGGACATAAGACTGGAGTGGGTCGCACACTCCCACAAAAAGTTTATCGAGGGGATGTGTCGTCATCTGGCTCACGCTCGGCAAGATCTTCTACGACACGTTCTGACCCACACGTAGAAGAATACTTACAACAAGTTACCAGCAAAACCTCCAGCTGTACGAGAGCGTCAGAATGATGCAGGATTTCATCACTCAAATGCACCCCAACATGACTTTCCCAACGATTACTCCTCATGTGCTGTATGTCCGTCTAGGTCATCCGCCTCTGAATCCTTCTGATGATAACAACGATAATTCTAGTGATGCTGCTAATTTAGGAGATTAGATTTTTATTAATATAACAATTTGTACTTCCGCACATTTCTACTATAATTACAATTTTATTTTATTTTATTAATTACTTTTTACAATAATAATTTTTATTATTTATTTCTTTTTATTTAATTTTTATTTATATTTAATATCATGAATTATATTGATTATAATTATTAAAATGAGAAAAAAATAAATAAAAAATTAAAATATTATTTGTGACGACAAATGTGGTCGCAACAAATATAAGCCACGTCAGCTAAGTCTGCGTCTTTTGCAACGACTTAATTCAAAAAATGTTGTCGCAATTACTTAATGCCATGTCATCTTAACGATGTACCCGGCGAAATAATTGCAGCGACTCATTTGCAACAATTATCGTCGCAAATATAATTGCGACGACAAGCTGTTGTCGCAAAAATTGTTTTTATGACTATTCAATTGCAGCGACAGGTTTGCGATGACAAGTGGTCGCTAAAAATTCATTTGCGACGACTCTTTATTTTTGGCAACGACTTTTTATCGTCGCTAATAACCCTTTTTCTTATAACGAGCTCCTTAGTATTTCATTCTTCACATACCTTGTAGACAAAAACAAGGTGAAAAACAAAAATACGCTTTAGTCGTTAAAGGAAAATATTTTAAACATTAAAAGACAAAAAAACCATAAAACAAAATATGAAATTTGAGAAAAAAAAACATACATGAATTTATGTTCTTAAAATACCTAACAGATTGTCAAAGATTTTTCCCCATAAATTTCTCAAATAAATTTGATCTAATTAAAGGCATCTTTGTATTTTCTTCTCCACAAAGTCCTTGAAGGATGAAATTCAAACAAGTTTTTTAAATATAAAGGATACATTTGTAATTTCAAAGAAATAAAGGATTAATTTACACATAAAAAGAATAATTTAAACAAAAAATTAAAAACTAGAATGTATTTTTTTGTAACTACCCCTTACCTAATTAATATCCCAGTTCTTCAAAGCTAATATACCTAGGGACATTGAAATCCTTTTACTCGATGTTATAGCAATGAGAAAGTAAAAAAAATAAAATAAAAACGAAAAATAGTTCATGTATAAAAAATTATTTCATTAAATGTATTCATAAAATTACAATATAGCACTCTAACAGTTAAAAACGATTGAGTACAGCCTAAAAGATTTTTGACACTACTCGTGATTGCTCATGAAAGAATTTTTCTTATAGTAAAAACATAAAAATTGTTAGAAAAAACGTTATTTTATTAGAACATTATGAAAAATTTATCCTTAAAAATACATGAGTCTAGACCTTTATCACTTATTATTGATAAATATCATTTTTGTTAGTATAATTATTTGACTAAAAAGGTTATGAATCAAGAATAAAGAGTAAAAATCCCTTTTTGTTAGTATAATTATTTGACTAAAAAGGTTATGAATCAAGAATAAATAGTAAAAATCCCGACTCATGCACTTTTAAGGAGTATTTGTCACGATTACCCTATTTATTAATTGCCAAACAATATTTAGATTAGAATAGAAACATTATTCATTCGCAAACTTGTCTTCATCCTAATTCCGTTAGAGATCAATAATAAGCTCGTCATAAAGGTTAAATTGTGCCTCTCATAGTCAAAGAGTTGTTGTTTAATAGCTAACGTTTATCATTGTTTAAATATTACTATCAACATATGAAGGTGTGAATTTGGATTAAAACCGTACTGTTAATAATAAATAGCCTACTTGGATTAAGATTAGGAAGGCCGGTATACAAATATATGTATAGTGGTGGAGTTAGGCTTCGTATAATATTAAATTTTTGTCTTAAAAAAAAGTGTGAAATTAAGTGGGGTTATATATGAAAAAAAACTGTATTTTAACAGGACAAAATGAGAAAATCACAAATTTTTAAAGGTTATTTTAAAAAATAAAAATAAAAAAACTCAGTTCTCCAAATAGCTCGCCACTGTGTACGTATATACAAATACATTTCTTGTATACATGAGAGACGTGAGAATTGGGATGTTAGGGCTAGCCGTTAGGGTTTGGTTTTTGTGGGGGCAAAAAAAGGGACCAGAGCCGAAGATGTGAAGGAAAAAAATAATATAGAACACGTAGAATGATAATGATGTGTATCTATCTATAAATTAAAGCTGTTTTAATGTAATTAAATATGGTTATTTAATGTTCTAAAAGGAGGTAGTAAAGAAGGAAGAAAATAATATTGGTTCCTTTTATAGTTGTGATGGTTGCAGCGAAAGTTAGATATATGTTGTTGAACTGATCTATCCAAACTCAGATTGGAAATATGTCTTCAGGTCTTGTTCGAATTCTCTCTCTCTCTCTCTCTCTTTTCACCAACAGTGGATTTTCATTAAAGAAATAGAAAAAAAAAAAAAAAAAAAAGCGGAAAGAAGCAGCAGAGGCACATGCATATTTAGAGATGCAGTGGGATAAATAATATCTGTAAACGAAGTATTAGAACAACAGTAGAAATATCAACTATCAAAAAAAAAAAAGAAAAAAAAAAGAAAGCAGTAGAAAAATCATGATTTTCCATGTGTGTGTGTGTGTGTGTATATATATATATATATATATATATTGCTTGTAATTTTCCATCTATATTTTCTAGTAGAAAAAGACCGAAAGATGCTCTTATGAGGTTCTTTAGAAATAACCAAAGACTCTGATATTTTTCTCCCTTCACCCAATGACCTTTTATCAGGTTTCTGACTTGGTCAACTTAAGCCGGTGGATTAATTTCTGTTTAGTTTATTTTTTATAATAAAAAATTCAGAAAATAAAAATTGTACTCATTGTGCATGGGAGAGTAATTAAACCTAACCCCGAAAACGAGAGACAAAATTATAAATAATGAAACATGAAATTGTTTCCTCATTTAAGTATGATAATTATATTCGAGTTCTACATATCTTTCATTTTAATTTTTTTGTTTCTCCTCAAAGTCCATGAAAAGTAATGTAGGCTCCGTTTATTTTATCGATTTGATTAGAATTCGAGTTTTATTATAGTAAAAAACTCGAACAAACAGTCACATATAATTTTTTTGTTACAGTACAAAACTCTCACATAAAATCACATCTCAACTCGAATTAAAAATTTGAATCAGTGAATTAAACGGGCCATCTGTTTATTTCACCGATTTGAATTTAAAATTTAAATTTTGTTATAGTAAAAAATTTTTATAAACAGTCACATCTAATTTTTTTTATTATAATAAAAAATTCACATATAAAGTCACAACTAAACTCAAATTAAAAATTCAAAATAATGAACTAAACGGGTCCAGGCTTTGGAGGTTCTATTTCCCCTTTATGCAATCCAACAACCATGTTCCCCAAATTTGGTTGCTTGCCCACCTCGTTAGTTCAAAATTCAAATAACTCAAAAGTTGTAAAATGACCATATATATCTAATATAGCTAATTATTAATTATACCCACATAAACTATACAATAATTAAATATCTTTACCAAAAAAAAAAAAAAAAACCTCATATATCTTTTTCTTCCTTTCACACAGCGAATCAAAACCACAACTGTTACATACTTTGAACAAATGGCCTCCCCCGTATATTTTCTCTCTCTAGTTGCTACCCCACTCTTTGATCTTTTTTTGAGTGGAACCGCCAAGCAGAAGCAGCCTCTCTTTTAGAGAAGAAAAAGGCTAGAGAACAACCCCCTTTCTTTCTCTCTTTCTTTCGTTTTCCCTTTTCTCTCTGTTCTTTCTCTAGCCAAAAATCTCTTCAAACAAACCCTAATTCAGCTTTTAACCCCAGATATAGTAAAAAGGGAAGAGGGAAACACCAAAATAAGCTGTTATCAGTTATATCTCTCTTTATATTCTCTCTCTCTCTCTCTCTCTCTCTCTGCCAAAGAAAGGCAAAAAAAAAAAAAAAAAACCCCATCAATTTCATTGACTGTGCCCTGCTTGCTTATTGATTGTCCTCTTTTGTGACACTTCTTTCTTACCCATTTGCTCAAAGACAAACCCAAACTCTTTGCAGATCAGAAACCCAACCAAAAGAAATATATATTTTTAAGAGATGAGTTCTGGTACTTCTCCATCCAGAAAGCCAGAAACTCTATCTCTCTCACATAAATGACTCTGTTGTGTGTGTAAGTAATAAGCAAAGCAAATCTCTCTGAACCCATCTCTACATCTCTGTCTTTTTCTCCATCTCTCTCTCTCTCTAAACTTTTACACATCTTTTTCCCATTTCTCTCTCTAGAATGGATTCCGGCAACACCAGCGGGAGTATGCAATCCTCCAGCGGCGGCGACGAGGAGTATGATTCACGCGCCGCCGAGTCGATCTCGGCCCTCTTGAGCAACAACCTCCCACAAAACGACGTCGTTCATCACCACCATCACCACCAACATCAATCTTCCATGTTCGACCCGCTCTCCAACTTCTTCGACCCGGTCTCGTCGTCGTCGTCGTCTCGGTCTCTCAACCCAAACCCCTTCCTCAATCTCGACATGGTCTGGCCCAAACCCGTCAGATCCGACCCGAACCCGAACTCCTCCGAACTCGTCTCCTTAATCCCCTCATCTTCCCAACCTAATTTCTTCTCAAGTAACAACAGCATTCAGCTAGGTCAAACCGCCGTCGCCGGAGCTTCTAATTTCCCGGCGATTCAGATCGCTCCGGAAATTCAAACTCGATCCCAAATCCACCGTCTTCCGTCGTCATCGTCCGCTGACCGAAACGACGCCGTTAATATCACTCCCAACGGCGGGGCCGCCCCGCGGAACCCGAAGAAGCGGTCGAGGGCTTCACGGCGGGCCCCGACGACGGTGCTGACGACGGACACCAGCAATTTCCGAGCCATGGTCCAGGAGTTCACCGGCATCCCCGCCCCCCCGTTCACCTCCTCGCCGTTCCCCAGGACCCGACTGGATCTGTTCGGGTCGGGCTCGGGCATCAGATCAGCACCGTTGGATCCTCACCATCATCATCCGTCGACAGGTACTTCTTCCTATAATCTCCTACGACCGTTCGCTCAGAAGATTCAGCAAACGACGCCGTTTGTCAACACCAGTGCTTCATCCTCGTCTTCTCCGTCGACGACGACTTCTAACAGTCTTCTCAATATTCAGACCAACCCGGTTCTGAGCTTCCATTCTCTTCTCCAAAACGCTCCACCGAAATTCGCGAAGATGGGTTCCACTTCTGCTTCTGCTGATCAGTTTGGGTTGAGCCATGGACACCATGTTAATGTTAACCCTCAGCTCGGTGGCATTCCGAATCCTCCGACAACGATGGCGACAACGACGGCGACGAATTGGGGTATTACTACTGATCATGGGATGGGATCAAACGATAACAACAATGGAAATAATGGAAACAACAGTAATGTTGATGAAGGTCTTCTTTTGAGGTCCATTAATGGCGGATATACAGCTAATACTACTGCAGCTTCGGCTGCGGCTGTTTCGAATGGACATAAAGTGAACTACTCAGCTTCTTCTTCGACGGATTTTCACGGCAGTAAAACGGAGATTAATGTAGCAGCTAGAAGTGAAGGTATGGTGGAATCATGGATTTGTTCTTCAGATTAGCCATATATAAATATAATTAAATATTTATTGTTATATATAAACCAAAAGAGAGAAGAAAAATCATAGACAGGAATGAATGAAGCATGGTGATTATGATGGTGCATGAAAGAGGGGTCTTTTGTCTCTTTAGTCCATCTATCTATACGCCATGGCTGCCAACATGATAATCAAACACTTTGTTTTTTTTGTTTTTTTGTTCCTTAATTTACATATATGTAAATAATAACATGTTTCATTTTCTCCTCACTTTTTAAGTACATTACATATACATATATCTCTCATTCATCCAATATTATACAATCCCATCTTGCTCTTGATCATGATCCGTCAGTTTAATATTTCTGTCTAAATTTTGAGTAGTTGTATGAAAATGTTGTTATATAATATATTTCGCTTATGGCTCTATTATATGTGCCATATATATGTAATATACTATATATTTATATGTGCGTGTGTTTGTATGTATGTATATATGTTGACGGTCGTCTAGTTTGACCACTGTAAGTAGAATACGGATTCGGATGGATAAAACCTGCCATCAAATAACGCGTTTTCCTCGTACATTTTCTCTTCTATACGTGTGAAAAGAACTATATATGTAGTATTATCTGAAGTGATTAGGAGAAAAAAGGAAAACGAGAAAACTCTACTACAGCAAAAGGCCTGGATTATCGAGTTTTTGTCTGGTTGCTCATATCATTATCTACCTCGTCTCTTCAATTTTAAAGCGTATATTTCTTGAGAATATTTTTCTTTTTCTCTCCAGTAAATTCTGTTCGAATATTTTTTTTCTTTTTTATATACAAGTCTAGGAGTGATTGGTGGCGAAATTTGGGGTATGGTTAGCCGCCGCAATCTCGTAATATACAATTCAAATATCTCTATGATCATGTGTGTCTTTCTATTATTTTTTTTATTATATATACTTTTCACTTGTTTTTTTTTTTTTTTTGGGGAGGGCTTTGTGTATTTTTTTTTTTTTTAAGCTAATATATATATATATATATATATATATGCTCATCGTTGAAGAGCATGGATGATATGATAAAGCCAGCAGTTTCGCGCGGGTCCATGAGTTGCACACAATTATATGAAATTATTAATTAATGAATACATGTTGCTTTAGCCAAGATCTTATGTATATGAATCTTAATGCACCTATTGCCTGTACTTTTTAGACAAATCTTTAGCCATTTAAAATTGGCTTTTAAGGGGATGTTTGGTTCATCAATTCATAATCATGATTCATAATTTTAATTTTTAAAATTTAAATTTTTTGTGAGAAAAACACTGTAAAAAACTAAAAATTATGATTCAGAATCAGAGACGAACCTTTGAAACAAACATCCCATCTCCCCTTTTTTTTTTTTTTAAATTTTACTTTTGCTTAAATACAGCCCAAAAAATAAAAAACTTGGGTCGTTTTATTTTTCAATGGTGAAGTTCTCCTTTCATCTTTTTTCCTTTTGTTTTATTTTATTTTAAGGACATGGTGTTTCGGATTCTTTTTATTATTTATTTTGTTACTCCCTTAAGAAAGAAAGAAAAAATTGGGTGTTACTAGTTTGTCTTGTTTTATTCTTTTTTTTTTTTTTTCAATAACAATATTGAGTTGAATGGACGTGACGTCATATTAGCTAATGAACAGCTCTAAAACCCCCCAAAATTAAAAATAGTAGCTCTTGAGGTACAAATATATGTTCGTACAAGCTAACACAGTTTTTATTCTTTCTATTGCTTTTCGTACAACAAATTATTGTGTCCGATTCCTAGAATTTTAATAAATTTACAATACACGAAGAATGTGAATCCCTCCACAAACATGAGACAAGCTTGTTCGAAATTTTGATACTGCTAGATCAAGTAATTACTCTTTTAAACATACATTTGCACTATTTTATTTGTTCATGTGTCAAAATATTTGGATCTCTCTCTCTCTCTCTCTCTCTCTCTCTCTCTATATATATATATATATATATATATATATGTCTGTGTGTGTGTGTGTGTTGATGAATATAATGGTATGTTGGATTTTGATGAACGTGTTTCAACGTGGACATTCTTCATGCAGTGCTATTAGGGTTTTAGTCATGTAGAGTTCATTCCATTTTAGGGAATAATATAAACTCCATGAGCTTTACTTCAGTAAAGTAAATTAATCTTCAGTTTTTCTTTATTTTTTTTTTACTTCCAACATGCATCTATATGTCTTCATGTATACTTCCAAAATGTAGATATACATCTTCCAAGAGACCTGGCTCCACTTATTACCTCACCTTTAAAGTATGTTTTGGTGATTTCATATAAACGATGAGATTTTAGCTATTTTTTGAATCCTTTCTTCATATGTGTGTATATATGTAATGCATAGTGTGTACATATATAACATGAATGGGTTCTACTGCAAGATCTCTTACTAGTAGTGTGTACGTTTCTGATCATTTGTATAAAATCACATGAAAGTAAAAAAAAAATGCAGATAAAAAGTTTCAAATACAGATCTAATTACTGAAACCAGAGGCATAATAGTTACGTAGTTTATTTTTCCAGCTCCTACTATTAAAATCTTCATATGTATTAGAAGGGAGACTGCTAATTTTAGCCTTTTCTTTTATCCAATATAAAATACGTACATGAATGCCAAAATAACTATTTGATTCGCGTGGCGTGGAATTCGCTAACAAAGAGCCATGATTAGTCCTATCTAGTTAGAACCGTACCTCATTATTCAAACATCACGGAAAATGGAAGTGATGAGTATCACAATTATACTGACAATATTGTCTTGTTAATGTAAGGCGTTAGGAAAAACCTCAGTTACCCATGTCTTTAATTACTATCTTTTGCTTTTAGCACATTTAGATCTTCATTCAAAACATATTATATAATATTATATAGTCAAAGAAATAAGAGTAATGCAAAATAAACACTTTTTGTCAAACATTACATGGTGACAAAAGATTTCCTTTTTCCCTCCAAATCTCTCACATGATAACCACATAAATATTTCAATTTTCAAAACTATATACTAAAAGGCCGGGTGAAATAAAAAGTAAGAACTTTGGAGAGCGAGCACTCCTCAACATATATTTATGTCCTTTACAAAAGTGGGTAATCTTTTTCATGAAACGGTGATATATCTAAAAAGTCGGTAATCTTTTTCATTTCATTGATTGATAGATCATGATCTTTTTTTTTGCGCTACAATTATGCATCTTTTCAACTTTGTTTTAAATTCGGAATGATTATATATATATATATATATATGTATATATATAGAGAGAGAGAGAGGGGCATTTACAGAGACACACTTTCAAAAAAATTTGGATCCTTTTGCTCAAGTAGTAGATATAGACACATGGGATTTTGGAAACAAAACACTTTTACAAATCTCTTTCCTTTTCCCAATAGAGGGAAAAACAAAACAATCCCATATCTTTATTGAAACAGTAAATTAAAAAAAAAAAGCAAATGATGGCTTGGGATTGTGGAGGGATTTAAGGGCCAGAAGATGAGGACATTTGCAATGGAAGATGTGTGTCATTTTAGCGGTGACACAGCTTCTTTTAGCATCATGGTGGCCCATGCCAGTGAATAATAAGCCTTTCCTCATTAGTAATGATGGCTATTCTATCACTACTGAGTAACCACTGCTCACTCACTCATAGTCCTCAACGTATATATATATGTGTGTATATATATATATATATATAAGCACATCGGGTAATGTCAAAGGCTGAATCAGTGGTAACAAAACGAACTGGCAAAAGGCATATAATACACTTCTCTTTTCTCCACAAAAGTGACCTACAATTTTGCGCCTTATTAACTCCAAAAGAGACTCAACTTTTTGCAACCCCAAATCAAAAAAAAAAACAAAACAAAACAAAAAAAAGGCTGGCATCAATTTCTCTAGTCCTCTTGCTTGAAGTTGAAACCCACTTCCCTCATCGGAAGACAAATTAAAAAGTTTCATTTATATATGTAGAAGCCAATGGTGATGTGTTATTTCTTTAGTAATGATCAAACTCATGTTCTACAGAACGGATATCTTTTTCAGATTTTGTTATCTGTCATTTTCCATCTAATCTACTTCTTGCTAGCGAAGACTTTGTACTCAACTTGGTTTGTCCATATTTTATAGTGTCATATATTTATAAAGTGTCATGACCCTAAACCTAAGGACTAATTAGGGTTGCTGTTGTTAAGACTGGACCTTAAACCTTAAAAATACGCGTATGTTGAAATAATTATCTAAGAAATTATGTTCTCCGTATGTACCCATATATTTTTACCCATGTTCTCCACCAACAATTACTCCGAAAATCGCACCCCACTATCAACAGGTGAGATCAACATATAACTTTAAATTAAGAGTCCCAAATTAAAGTCCAAAATGGGATGTTCTGTACCTAGATTGATCCTATATTTAAAATCAGGTTTTTAAAAAAACCGACTTTGTTTCTAAACCTCTACCGTCTTTCATTATTTCTTATAGTGGCTCTTCTGGAGAGCTTTTGGCCTCATTAATTTTACCGATTTGAGTTTTTAATTTTAAGAAAGTTATTAAAAAATGTCACATCTAATTTTTTCTACTACAGTAAAAAGCTCTCAGAAAATATCACATCTCAACTTGAATCCGCGAAACGAACGAACGAGGCATTTATATTCCAGTTTACCGACTTTGAACCGCTACTGTCTTTCTTAGAGAGTGGGCTTGTTCTTTTGATGTTTTTGAGTTAGGTAACTTAAGTGTAGATTTTGAGTTGAGTTTGAGTTATAACTTGAGTTGAAGTTGTAACTTGAGTTTGTGTTTGGTTGTGTACATTTGAGTTATGATTTGAGATAAGAATCTTTTTTGAGTTTGTGTTTGAGTAAATCAAAACTTGCATTTGTTTTTAGATAGTATTTTAATAAAAACTCAATGTTGATGAAAAATTTTAATAGAGTATATGGGTCTAGTTTTATTCGTATTTTCGTTGTCAACGCATAGAAAAAAAAAGCATCTCAATCAGAATTAAAACGAAAAAGTTATAGCATTTTTAAGAATAGAAAAAATATTATTTATTAACTTGAGTTCGAGTTTCTGAACTCGAGTTGAAGGGAAAACTTGAACTCGAGTTTTAGTTCCAAACTCAAGTTCAAACTCGAGTTCAAACCCCAGTTCAAACTTAAAAGAACATGAACTCGAATAAAGTTGTAACTCGAGTTATCTTTTTTTGAGTTTTTCACTCAAAAACTACCTCACCGAACATGCCCTTTGTGTTCCAGTTTACTTTTTTCGGTTAACGAATCTAGAAAAAAAAAAAGAAAAAAAAAACTTCTTAGGCTAA